TTTTCCACCTTCTTGGTAATGACATGCGGTCGAAGCAGATTGACATTGATAGCATGATGGACTGTTACAGTTAGCTTTTGTACATTAAGTCTCGTGTGGGAGGTGGCAACATTCTACGGTCGCATTTGCATTTTTTCAACCTGCAAGCTTCGCAAGCGATTGCGTGGAATCGCTCCTGGAGAGTTGCAGTCAGTAGGCCACCCTCTGTAACACGTGCGGAATCTTTTGGCAGCATTTTTGAATAGTGATGTTGTCAAGTTAGTGGAACAATTGGTGTTATACGTTTCCATTGTGTACAAACATGAATGGGTTCTCAGCCCCAGAAGTACTTAGCCGGACACTACAAAGTAAGCGCGACCGCCGGCTACCGTTTAAGTTCGCCATCTTCAACGCAAATGCTTCGGTCAACAAACGTCTCAATGCCTGCTAAGACGAACAAATGTTACTCAGGAAATATACCATTGGAACAGACGGATCGTGGAATTGTCACGGCGGAGCTCACATAGTGGGATACCGCAGACCTTGTGGACGTGCCAAAAGCTTTTAGTTAGTCATTGCAACCATTTGTGATATCGTAGCATGAAGCAAGTGTCACCTAGGAAACAAAAAAACTTCGCATGTCACTACTCCCTCTTGACCATTGATCAAGAAATCCATTGTCAATCTATCAACCATTACCTCGTCACAGCATCAATCTTCTCCAACCTGGACGATGAAATCTCGCAACACTCTGTGCTATCTATCGAAGAATTTTGGCGAGTTCAAACGACACGCTCACGTTTGGGCGCTTCAAACTTTTGATAGTCATTCTCAATCAACCGGTAAGTACTCCCATAGTCACGCCACTGCATCTGAAATGCAATCAAGAGTACTGGCAATACGCTAATGAACTCACCCAACCCAGCCCATTGCGGCTTGATTCTGATCTCACGGCCTATTTGGGCAAAAACACCAGCCGCAAGCGCGATTGCGACAGTGTTGTATAAGCCGGACCAGGTGAAGTTAGCGACAATGCGTCGGTATGCAGCATTGGAAATGTCCAGCAATATCAGGATGTCATGTAGACGAGTGGTCATTAGAATGATATCCGCAGCACTTTTGGCAACGTCAGATCCCTGGCTGATGTGTACGCCAATATCGGCCTGCTTGAGTGCAGCAGAGTCGTTTGTGCCATCGCCTATAAACATGACAGTTTTTCCCGATTCCTGAAGGTCTTTGACGTATGTGCACTTCCCATCGGGTCTGCAGCGCGACTTGATGTTGTCTTTGTGAATATGGAGTGTACTAGCAGCGTCACCCACTGCACTCTCGGTGTCGCCGCTGACTATATGTACTTGAATACCTCGAGCATGAAGCTTCTCAATGACCATCTCCGCTCCAGGACGAGTGCGATCCTTAAGCTCAAAACTAGCTTGAAGGTCTCCCGCAATGGTAAAGTAGCACCTCGTGTTTGATTCTTGCTCAATTACGCTGATCTTCAGCCAGTCGGCGTTTCCGGCGCAGACCACGGCTCCAGTTTTGGCGCAAGTGCCTTGGACCCCTTGCCCAGGAAGGCTGACAATGTTGTTGACCTCCAGAATTTCGTAGTATCTGTTGGCGATCCTGTCTTGCGTGAGGTAATGTACGATTCCAACGGCTATTGGGTGCTTGATGTCTTTCAATAGTCCCATCATTAGTCCTTTAACGCGTGCTCTGTCAGTGTTGCAGTATCGTGGAATACCCACAACGTCCAATTTCCCACAAGTAAGCGTTCCAGTCTTGTCGAATATTACATGTGTTACTTTGCGTGTGATTTCTAGTTTCTGAGGGTCTCTGAGAATGATACCATACCGTGCTGCCACGCCACTTGCAATGAGGATAACTGTAGGGACAGCTAGGCCAATAGCACATGGGCAGGACACAACAAGAGTGGCTATGGCGTAAGTAATCGCTGTAAGTACTGCGCTCTTCCACGTGTGGTTGCTATAATACCTGTCGATGAACAACCAGGAGAGGAAGACTGCCAGACCGATTAGAGCTATTGCAGGCACAAAACACTCAGCTACGCGATCCGCAAGGGCTTGCGTTTTCGGTTTGCTCAGCTCAGCATCTTCAACTAGAGTCGCAATCTTTTGTATAGAGTTCTCATGAGGTAACTTCCTCAGGCTAACGACAAGGGAACCGTCTTGGTTGGTCGTGCCAGCAAAGACTTCGGAGGATAAGCCTTTCGCTTTGGGCTTGAACTCCCCAGTAATCATCGATTCATCAACATTGGAGCCTCCGTAAATAACAACTCCGTCTGTTACGACCCTGGTATAAGGAGGAACAATGAAAACATCGCCGTACTGTAAAAGGCGAGAATCAATCCGAGTGGTCTTCACATTGGCCCAAATGTCATTGGCGGATGGCAGCACCAGAAGCGCTTCTTCGACCTGAAGTGACCGAAAAGAGACGGATTTGGTAGCTCGGAAACGCGCCAACTCATTGATTACGCGACCCAGCAAGATCAATGTGACCAAGAGAGTTGATGTCTCAAAGAAAGATCCTGTTTCCAAAGTCTCTCCACGAATTTGAAAAATGTACGAGGCTAGGCTGAAACCGTACGCCATGGTAGTACTGAAGGCAATCAAGAAGTCCATCTCCAAAATGTGGGAGTGATAGAGCGATCGTAAAGCGCCTGGAACGAACTCTCCGAAAGCGATAAGCTGAACTAGTGTTGCAAGAACCAAGGATGCATGGAGAAAAGCCGAATGATCGTGATCGACGGGCGCCCAGGCAAATACAAGCACAGGTATTGTCAAGGCTAAAGTAGGAAGAAACCATAGCAAAGCTCGGGTTGTAGACCTGGCTCCAAGCTCAATTCCGGGGTCTATGGTCAGAGGCGCCAAGCAAATGTCTGGATCGTACTGCTGATAATGCTCAAACACGGTGCGGGCGCCTATCTTGATCGGATCGTAGTATATCTTCGTTGGAGGTATTCTAACACTCGAAATTTCTTGGGTGGAGTTCTTCGTACTCTTGTTCGCGCCGTTGTTTTGGACCGGACCGCTTTTTGATGTGTCGGTCAAGGTCGTCGTCTTATCACGTCGACGTAATCTGCGTAGAGGTCGCCAGGGAGCTCGCTCAGGTGCTTCGATACGGATGACACCTTTGGGCTGACCAGCGTGCTCCAGGCGCCGAGGGTCGGTGATGATGATCTCTAATACCTGTCCATTGAATGCAACGTGCTCCTCAAAGCTGTATCCTGTTTTTGTAGTCAGAAGCTCAATGACATCATCGACACAGAGGATGTTCACATCCAAGTCAAATTCCACTCTAGCCAAAACCGTGTTCACTTGATAGTTTTGGATAGCCGCAATGCGATCAAGGGCGCGTGAAAGTCCTCCTTCACAGCAACCACACTTGAGGCCATTGATTCGGAGGATGACACGCTTGAATTCGGGGGGACCTTTTTCGGCGTCCCTATAGTTGTTGCAGGTGGCTGTAGAATCTAAGTCTTTTAGTGAATATTCCTTGACCTATGCGACCACAAGCAACAAGTGCCAGGTAAAGGATAGTTACAATGTAAATCCGTAGTCTCGCAGTCTCCCTCCAGCCCACATTGACCACCACTACTGATCCCAGGCACCGTTGCTGGAGATGCGTTGTGGCGGCTAATGAGACAACAATTCGAGAACACAGTGAACGGACGATGATGACCTGTGCTATTCTGGCATGGTCCGGGCTGTGAGCCTGGGGCTGCGATTTCTTTAGGAATTTGTACATGAGAGTGCGATGATGTTCGACGTTGAGGTATCGGCTCCAGATTTTCTTGAGCAAGCGGTAGACTTGGAGCCTTTTCGGGTAGTTCGAGATGCAAGTTGTATTCCGTAGTGCGTTGGTTTTCTGCCTCTGACATTTCTGAAGCTAGTTCTGGTGTTGAGGGAAATACATCGGGCAGGCTTTGATGTGATACTTTACGGGATGTCCGTTCAATCGGAGTTCCGTCAAGACCGATATCAGTGGTATTGGGCGTATGAGAGGCCGAAGAGGAGTGTCGATGCTGCCCAGATGTAGGTTCGGCAGGCTGAGCATATGGATTTCTCACCGGATAGGTCGCTGCGTAGGGGTTTGGTGTACCGGGCGATACACGCCTGCTTTGGCCAGAGGCAAGTCGTAGAATATGTGTATGGTGTGTGCTGTCCTCAGGAGAGAGCATGCGCATTTCCATTGTGATAATTGTGTATCGCGGTAGAAATGGAAAATGATGTGGATGCTGATGCTTTGAGCGGAGAGCGGAGAGGGCGCGGATAGTTGATCTTGGGTCCACAGAAGCTTAAATCACCAACAATCGGGAATGGCAATAGGTAAGGCACGCTCGAGCGAGGCTGCAGGAGCGCCTGCCACATTCATGGGATTCATCCCGATGATGCTGTGGCATTGTGTAGCACCTACTAACAGGGACATAAGCATTGAAGCATCGGTATACATTTCCGATTGGCGTCAAAAGGCATTTTTGAAAGTAATAGGTTTTCCTGTTGTGAACAGAGCAAACAGGTACGACTACCTACCCGTGCTACGACAAAAACCAGACGTCCAGGGAGTAAGTAGCACCTGTGTCCCGGAAGAAGGGCTTGCTGTAGGTGCATGCCAGACAACGATGTTCATGACGCCCTTTCAGTTGCTTCTTAGCTAGCAAAATTCACTTGAAAGTGGTGTAGGTATGGGTAAGGGATGAGGGTGAAGGACAGCATCACTAGCACTCTGAACGCCAAGCGCCCAACACGTGATAGCGCGCTTTGGGTGCATGTTGCGTCATCAGCCATCATTGTCGCCTACAGTCATGCACATCCAGTAGATATCCGCACGTAACAGCGACTCCTTGCCACCGTAATGCCAACATATAGCGGCGCACATAGCAGCACTCGCTGATTGAAATGGTGACACCCACCATGAACATCCAAGACTGTCCCATCGACCTACCAAGCATACTATAACTTCACACACCACGGATCGCGCCAACCTGACAGGCGACAGCAGACATGGCAGGCGCTCGCGCGAGATCGCGCCAGACAGCTGAGCCATCGATGCCGAGGAGGTCGGCGCGGAGAGGGAACAAGACACGACCTGAGGAAGAGGTGCCAGCTGTGTTCCAGGATATGCTGCGCGAGGAAGAGGCATCCAAGGCTACCAGTGCCCATGAAGATGGCCCACCGCAAAAGAAGAGAAAGACGGCGCCACTGACCACGAGTCCATGTCGCGCTGCTCTCACCACACGGATCTCGCCAGTGCCGCCGCGCGCGCAAGCGCAAGCCACAGCTACAATTCAACCAGTCGCTGAAGAGCCTCAATACAACAGCGGACGGCTGCGACAGACTATCATCGATTCAGACGAGTCGGAAGACAGTGATATGGAGTGGGAAGATGCGCTGGCCGACGGTGACGATAGCGACGACGAAGACGCCCCTGAGGGCCGGGATACTGCACCGCACATTGGGGATATCTCCATTGCCATTGGCGCCAAAAAGACGGACGAGAATGGTGGGAAGAGGAAAGTACGACGGCGAGCCATAACATCCGTCGATAAAAGGCGCCGTCTGGATATTCACAAAATGCACGTCCTCTGTCTGCTTTACCATGTCCACTACAGAAACGCTTGGTGCAACGACAGAAGAGTTCAAAGCACCCTGCGAAAAATTGTTTCCCCCAAAACATTGGCTAGCCTCGTTCCGAATCCCGACCTCACACAATATTCTGCATCCAAGCAATTTATTGACGGGATGAATGGTCTCAAAATGATGTGGTCTAAGCGATTCAACATCACCGCCCGGGGCATGCACAAGCCCCGATGGGTCGAGGTTGATGCCGCTATCCGTCCCTTCTCAGACTTTGACGATTTTGATAGCCCTATGGATAAAGATGAATTTCGTACTGCGGCGCACACTTTGCGAGGGTCTCAAGATGTTGGTACGCAGCTGTTTTGCGCCCTTCTCCGTGGGATTGGCATAGAAGCTCGTCTTGTCTGTTCCCTGCAGCCTCTACCTTTCGCTTCTGCCGCTGAGCGTGCAACTCCACAAAAGACAAATGTGCAGAAGAATACCATAGTAGTTGATCCGTATAACAAGCCAGCAGAGCCAAGTCCCACAAAACCCACATCACAGGGACCGCGACATAAGAAATTGTCCAGACTAGAGCGTGTAATGGGCGAACGACATACAGTCCTGAACCATACTGGTGTGGCACCTAAGAAACAAAAGGCATACCACACCCCGTATCCTGTATACTGGGTTGAGGTTTTGAATCCTGCATATCAGAAATGGGTACCAATCGACGTATTCTCTACATTCACTGTCAACTGCCCCGAGAAGTTGGAACCACCGCTTAGCTTTCCTGACAACATTTTGGCTTATGCAATAGCATTCGAAGACGACTTCTCAGCGAGAGATGTCACGCGGCGGTATGCAAAGGCATTCAATGCCAAGACGCGGAAATATCGTGTCCACAGTACACCTGGAGGGAGCAAGTGGTGGCAACGAACTATGGACTTTTGGAAGCGCAGATATCCGCTTGACAGAGACCAAGTGGAAAATGCTACCTTGCTGCGCAAAGAGGCGTTGGAGGGCCTGCCGAACAATGTTCAGGACTTCAAAGGACATCCCGTCTACGTGCTTGAGCGGCATCTCAAGCACAACGAAGTCATTCACCCTCTGCATCAGGTTGGAAAGGTGAATTGTGGTACTTCCATGAATCCCAAAATTGAGCCCGTATACCGTCGTGTCAATGTACATACGGTCAGAACTGCAGACAAATGGTATCGCATGGGGAGGGATGTGAAAATTGGTGAACAACCCCTTAAGCGCGCGAAACCCAAGAAAGGGCGGAGGAGTTCCATTGATCCAGATATTGAAGGCGATGACGAAGCAGACGAGGTTGGGGCTGGCCTCTTTGCCGAGTTCCAAACCGAACTCTATGTACCACCTCCCGTTGTCCGAGGCCGCGTTCCACGCAATGTCTACGGCAACCTGGATCTGTATGTTCCTTCCATGTGCCCACCAGGGGGTGTGCACATTCGACATAAGCTTGCGTCTAAAGCAGCACGTATCGTTGGCGTCGATTTTGCAGACGCCGTCACTGGATTCTCTTTCAAAGGCCGCCACGGCACTGCAATCGTGCAGGGCGTGGTAGTTGCACAAGAATACGCCGATGCGGTGCAAAGCGTGATTGAGGGGATGGAGTACCAGCAAGAAGAAGCAGAGGCAACAGCGCGCAGAACCGAATCGCTTCGACTGTGGCGACGTTTCTTTCTTGGTCTGCGCATTGCAAAGCGCGTCAACGCTATTGAAATCGACGGCGAGAAAGGCCCAGCTATCGACGTGCAGGATGAGATTAGTAAAGAAGATCGAGAGCTGGCTGCCCAGGAAATGGCAGGTGGATTCTTTCCTGACGACAGCGCGGCTGCCGAACCCTCAGGCAGTGGGTATCAACCACGACACGGAGAGGATGTCGGCGGTGGATTCCTACCAGACAGCAACGACGCTGACTTTGAAGACAGTGGCGGTGGTGGCTTCATGGTAGACGAAGAGAAAAACGTAGCACCCGCCGCCCTCAACCGACACCAAAGCTTCGAAAGTTCCATTCTAGACGCACAACCACTTCTGCCCCCGCGTCCATGTAGTTGTGATGAAGTTTACTCTTCCGACCATGATACCGACAAGAGTGGAGACTGGGAACAATTAGAAGCTGGGCCTTCTACGACTGCCGAAGGTGGTACTGCGAAACCCGCGCAAGTCGACCACCTTGCAGCAAAGGATGCTGTAGTAGTGATTGCCGACGAGCCTCTTCCGAAAGACTCTGTACACCAGGAAAATCAAGAGATTAAAGAAAATACAACGACGTCGGAGTATGCAACCGATGAGTCAAAAAGTACAAAGGATGTTCCAGTAAAGTCGCCCCCAGCGCAAGTTCCTTCGTCGTCACCCTCTGAAACCGGGTCGCTCATGTTGGAGGATCCCGAAGATGAAGATGCAGATCCAGATTGGTTAGTCGACGCCACTTGATATTTCTCTATTTAAATTCAAATAAATTCGATTGAAACAACCCCATTTCCGCACTATATTCTCACCATTCACATACGAAAAAAAAATGCATCGTTAAATAATGATATATATTTTTGTTCATCATGATCCCCACTCTCTGCTATTTCAAAAAATAACTTGAATATTTTGTCTAATTCATAAATGAAATCACTTCCTCTTAAGCATATCCTCCAACCCCCTAATCCCGCCCTCAAACCCGTCAAGATCATACTCCTTGGGATACCTCTCAAGCACATCCTTCAACTCCTCCGCATGCGCCCTCTGCTCCTCCGTCAGACTCTCCCAAACGCCCTCAAACGCATTGCGAATCGAGGGCTTCTTTTCCTTCTCCGCCTCTTCAAATGCGCGTAGGACTTCCTTGCGCATCGCACTCCGTGCCTCCTTTTCTTTATCCTCATCCCATAGCTGGCGGCTCTCGAGCCATTTTCTGAGGCGCGTAATGGGGTTGTCGCGGCGCTTCCAGTCCTCGACTTCGACGCGCTGGCGGTACGCGAAGGAGTCGTCCGAGGTGCTGTGGTGGCCGACGCGGTAGGCCATCATTTCTATCAAGACGGGCTGGCCGCCGTCTTGGAGGGCGAGGCGCCGTGCGTGCGAGGTGGCGCGGCGCACGGCGAAGATGTCGTTGCCGTCGACGCGGAGGGTTGCGATGCCGTAGCCTGCGCCGCGGGAAGCGATGCCGTCGCCCCGGTACTGGTCTGAGGTTGGTGTGGAAATGGCGTACCCGTTGTTGCGGCAGATGAAGATGCAGGGGACCTGGCGGGTAGCAGCAATGTTGAGAGCGGCGTGGAAATCGCCTTCACTAGCAGCGCCCTCGCCAAAGTAGCAGACTGCGACTCGGGGCTCGGTGTCCGGGTTCTGGATGTTTTGCATTTTCAGTGCGTAGGCGGCGCCGGCTGCATGTGGGATCTGGGTTGCGAGGGTGGAGCTGATGGTGTGGATATTGAGTTCTTTGCTGCCATAGTGAACGGGCATGTTGCGTCCCAGGCCATTGTCTTTGGAGTTTGCAAAGAGCTGATTCATGAAGGAGGAGAGGGTGAAGCCGCGTTGGAGGTAGACGCCTGATTCGCGGTATTGGCAGAAGATGACGTCCGAGGGGGAGAGGGCGCTGGCGGAGCCGATGGCAATGCCTTCTTCGCCGGCAGAGACCTTGAAATGTCAGTATATAGTTGTATGTATATGGGTGGTAAGAATTACCATGTAGAATGATAATCTACCCTGCCGTTGTGCTTCAAACATGAGTAGGTCCATTATGCTCACTGTGCCGTGTCAGCCGCAGGCCCTAAAGCAAGATATCCATTTCACTGACGCTTAACCATGTTCTTGTACAGTGACAATGCCTCTTCATCCGAAGTCTCGACCCCAACCTCCTTGTTTATTATCTCTCCGTACTGGTCCATGACGCGGTAGGTGGAAATGGCCTTTTCCTTTGACGGATGCATAAACTCCATGGTGTTTGTGAACTCGCTGTTCAAGGCACCGGGGAATAGCACTCTATAATATTTCGTCAGTCTCTTCCATTGCAACATCTCCTACATCTCCTACATCTCCACACTCACCTCTCAGCCGTGGGCGTCGAAGCAACGCCCCGACATGTTGTCTGCCACGGCGAACCCGTCTGCCTGCCAGCCGCATTGATAGGACGAGCCTTTGGGCTCAGCAGCCTCTGAAGTTGCAATCTCCGCGAAGTATAGCGGAAAGACATTTTGTGTATGCTACATTATGGGAATATGCGGGGGAAGGTGGTATATCAAGCTGGGGAAGTGCGGGCGGCAAGCGTCGGCGTAAAGTCGACGGTTTGGAATGCGTTACCGCGGCCAAACTCCCACGGCAGCCAACCGCCCATGTCGAACGGTCCAAGCTACGCTTGCGTACAATTGCATTGTGCATTAATTAGCTAGACTAGACTACTTCTTGCGTACCTGTAACCATGTTCGTACTAATGTGTGGATGTGCATCAGACGGGCGCTAGCAAAGAGGGCCACCCACCCCGGCTATGCGCGTGTCATAGCGCATGGGAACGAAAGTCGAGATTGCCAAGGCCGCTGTCTTCTTTTGCTAACAACCATCTACCACCCACAATCCCCCAATTGCCCGAACGATGCAGGCTTCACGGCAGCAGATAGGACGCCAATTGCTCTCCGGGCGGAGGACGCCGGCAGTAGGAGAAGCATACCGCTGCTTTTCCTTCTCAACCAGACAAGCACGACCTCAACACCCATCATCCCCGCCGCCACCACCACCACCAAAGTCCCCGCAAGATGCACCGCAAACAACGCACTTTGGCTTTGAAACAATCGCCGAGGCCCTCAAGGAGCAGCGAGGTAAATCCGCCCATTTCCATCCAAATCCCACTCCCAAACTAAAAAAAAAACCCCCGAACAGTCGCCTCTGTCTTCTCCTCGGTCGCCTCCTCCTACGACTCCATGAACGACTTCATGTCCCTCGGCATCCACCGCCTCTGGAAAGACCACTTCGTGCGGAACCTAAACCCAGGCCTCAACCCCCTCACCACCTCTTCCTCGCAGCAAGGAATGAACATCCTCGACATCGCCGGCGGCACCGGCGACATCGCCTTCCGCATGCTCGACCACGCCTCGCACATAAACCACGACGCCCACACGCGCGTCACCGTCGCAGACATCAACCCCGCCATGCTTTCCGAAGGCAAAAAGCGCTCCCTGTCAACCCCCTACGCGCGCTCTCCTCGCTTGAAATTTGTAGAAGCCAATGCCGAGGATCTGCACATGGTACCCGATGCCTCTGTCGATTTATACACCGTTGCATTCGGTATCAGGAATTTCACTCACAAAGACGTCGCGCTGAGGGAAGCCTACAGAGTACTCAAACCCGGCGGCGTCTTCGCCTGCCTCGAGTTTAGCAAGGTCCAGAATCCACTGTTTGATGCCGTGTATCAGCGCTGGAGCTTCGGTGCTATTCCCCTCATAGGCCAGCTTGTAGCCGGTGATAGGGATAGCTATCAGTACCTTGTGGAGAGTATTGCGCGTTTCCCGAGTCAGGAGGAGTTTAGTGCTATGATTAGGGAGGCGGGGTTTTTGGTACCCGGAAAGGGGTGGGAGGATTTGACAAATGGGATTGCGGCGATACATAAGGGTGTGAAGCCTGTGGGGGAGAAGAAGGTGTAGGATACTTTTGTTCTTTTTTTTCCTTTAAACTAGTAGATAAGATGGTTGGGATTTGATGGATTATTTTTGTATGATTACGTATCATATTTTATATAAAAGCAGGATTCTTAATGCCATAGATATCACACTCCAACATACTACAATGACAACATGATGAGTGGAGTAACAACATATTCATTCATTAGCCAGAGGATGATGACAACTTGACCAAGTTATATCAGCTAACCAGCTTATACATATATAAAAAAAATACGCCCCCTCCCTCCCCCAAACCCCAATGTCCCAAGAAAGCAGTAACCCGATCCCCCGCCCCCCAAAAAAACGCCCATTCGCCCACCTTTGTTGCATCAAAGCGTGTTGTAATCTACAAAACGACAAACTGTGTGGATTTCAAATCCCATTTCCCCCTAATCCCATATATTTCAGAGAGCTAGATGTCCTTCCCGGGATAACGCGCGAAAGCCCACCATGATTTGAAAAGAAAAACGCCGGGTCCATCCAGCCCCAGGCCAAGATAGCCATGTAAGCACTCAATCTGAGAAAGAGAAGGAAAGAAAGAAGGAGAAAAAAAATAAAAGAGGTCGGAGAAGTGCAGAAGAAGATTCAAAAGCTATACAAATTTAACCCATCGTATACGAACCCGCTCAAGAAAGGTAATGAAGAAGAGGAGGGAAGAGAAGAAAAGATGAACCCCTCAGGGTTAAAAGCAATTATGACAACGCCCCTCGAAAACAAAAGCAATGTAATAATATAGTCAAGAAGAATCAATCAAGGTACTTTGTTGCAATGTCGCGTCGAGCTTTTCTTTGCTTTTCTTTTATCGGAAATAGGATGCGCGCTTGCCTGCGCTGCCGGTGCTGAGCCTGCCTCTTGCTTCCTCAAGACTACGCCGGGAACCGCCGGCTCCAATCTCGCTCATCTGGAACAGCAATGGTTCGTCGTCATCTACGTTGGCTGCGGCGCGACTATTGAAGTTGTAGCGACTTTGCCGCTCAGTAGAGCTCGTGCCACCGGTGCTGAGACTTGTCGAAGAGCTGTGTGAGAAGAATCCGGATCGGTCTCGGGGACCAGCCTGGGGGCCGCGCTTGGCAGCAATGTTTGACGTAGAGGCAGGCCGAGGCAAGTCTTCGCGAGAGTCAGTATCAGTATGCTGGTTGTTGCGGTTCGCCAGCATCTCGGTTTGTGCAAACAGCCCGCTGGAGGTGAGACCGGCGCTTGTGAGGCGATGCAGATCATTGGCCCGGTCAACCTCTTCTGACGGCAGACTGGCTGAGCGCACACCAAACACATCCGGTTCATCATCAGGCAAAGTACGGCCCTGTTGAGCTACTGAACTTGACCTGCGGGTGTAATGCCAGGGGCGTGGCGAGGTGGGGATGGCAATACCGTTGCCATTTTGGTCCTCGTTCTCGCTTTGCTCTTCCACATGAACTGGATCGTGGTCGTGTGACCCCCTGTTAGGTCGACTCCGGCTTCGTGTAGGCTGATCGTATTCAATAATGCTATTGGCGCTCAGGCGAGATGGGATGGCTGGCGTATGAGGAGTATGAGGCGAAATTGGTTTGCCAGGTGATGATGCTGTCGAGACCGAAGTGCCGGCAATCATTGCAGGCACGCTAGACAGATGGCGGCTTGAAGAGGATGATGAGCGATGAAGCATGGTTGAGGAAGAAACTGACTCGGCCAGGCCTGTGTGAGACTCTCTCATGCGCTGATACTTGGATAACTGAGCAGTCGTCTTGTGCATAGTGGCTGCCTTGGCGGCATGGTCGCTGCGAGTAAAGCTCTTGAGGTCCTTTTTTGATTCCAAAAGTTTGAGAAAGTCGGAAATGTTCTCGTCGTCTGTCCTGACCTCTCCTGAGCTGCCACCGGCGCCCTCGTTCAGGGTATCGGAACCACGTTGTACTGATGATGACGGACTGGCCTTTCCACTGCTGAGGTTGTCGTCTTCGAGCTTGCTACCACCACCAGAGGAAAACTTGCTCCTCCTGTGACCAAAGCTGCTACTATAGCGACTGATGGGTGCAGGTTTTGGTGAGCTAGATGCGGATGAGGTTATGGCGGCCTCGTTGGGCAACGAAGGCGCTCGGAGAGCAGCCTGTGGAAGGGCATTTAGCGAGGTGCGGTTGCGTGGTTGATGGAGTGGACTAGGGGTGATGTTTCGGCCTAATGAGCTGCCTGGCCGTCCCAAGGAGCTGGTGGGCGAACCAGGAATTCCACCTCCAGGTGCTGGCGACGACGAGAGCGAGCCTGCTTTGAATGGCTGGAAAGAGACGGATGTTCGTCGCTGATGTAGTGGTGTATCCACCGAGCGTAGGGAGGACTTGGAGCCTTGGGCAGTGCGGTGGTTTGGTGGCAGTTTCTGGGGTGGTGACTCTGTTGGTGACGACGACGGCATATCTCGAACTGCACGGAGGGCTGAGATTGGGCTGGTGCCAGTGGGTGGGCCAACTTGGTGAAATGTCGAAAGGCTGCCGTATGCTTGACCAATGTCGGGCGTCTCTTGGGCATTCATTTTATCCACGGGGAGCGAGCCAGGCATCTGACGGGCCTTTTGCTCAAAGTAAGTGTCATCCAAGCCCATGAACTGTGAGCTCAAAAGGGATTCCGAGTTTTCTACTGTAAACTCGCAGTTGGCGCGATATTCCACCGTTACAAACAAAGGGCCGACGGGCGAATTTGTAGGCTCAATGTTTTGGACTTCTGTAATTTCATCTGGGTTTTGGTTTGGGTAGAGAGGCAGTCGCAGGGTATCGACATGCGGGCTCCGGAAGTCTCCATTGGATATGCGGTAGTTGAGCTTCAAAGAGGGAGCAGTGGCGGGCTGTTTGGCGAGAAGCTTGTTGTATCTGAATGCTGGCATGAAGCGAAGGGAGGCAAAGAGCGATCGGAAAGTGACAACGGCTTTTTTGTAGACGTTGGGGAGCGGGTCATTGAGTTCTGACGGCTGTACCGAACTCTTATCTCCGACGTGCACTCTCCAGCGCTCGAGCACCACCTGCGTAGGCTTGGCAGCACGACTTGAATATCCAGCAGCGGCGTCAGCAGAGTTGAGCGCAGTGGCAACATCCCATTTCTTCCCATCGTCGTCCTGAATGGCGAGGGACTGTGTGTGTCCGAGAGATTGTATGTCTAGGTAGATGTCGATGCAGAGAGACGGGTGTTGGCCGGCCATGGCGTCCATGACTTTCCAGTCGGTCAACTGGCGCTGGAGGGCGTCGCTGTCGGGGAGAACAACATTGAACTGGGAGGGTGTTAGTGCATGGAGCGATTGGTGGGGAGAGAGAGAGAGAGAGTGGCGTAGCATACCCATTTGTTCTGCTTCAGATTGCCATCCTTGTTGTACCCTGGGGGTAGGACTACTCGCGAGGATATGACGGCAAGAGCTGCCTTTGTGAAGAAGTTCTGAGTAAGAAAAGAGAGTCAGCATAGGTACAAAGGCGGGAGGCGTAGGGGCAAGGCTAGGTACCTGGATTACTTGGTTGACCTTGTGGTAGTGCTTCTGGTCAGAGTGGGCAGCGTGGTCTCCTCCTCGCGACATCATTTCGCCCTCGGACTCGTCGGCGGCTCGGTCAGAGTAGGGAGGGGTTGTTGAGTAGTTGGGCATGTCCATGGAGGTATGCCGCTGGTTGTTTGTTCGCGTGGGGTTGGTCTGGAGGTTGTTGGCGGGTGAGGCTGTCCTGGGCGAGGGGCGCGAGTAGGGATTCATGGCGGCAGCCTCGTGCAGGTACCGGAGAGCAGAGAGAGGACTTGAGGCGACGAGGCTGACGGTCGGGGTGCAGGTAGGTTAGGTAGGACGGTTATCGTTGGGGCGGAAACAGGCGAGCATGGATGCGCGTAGCCATCACGAGTTCAGGCAGTGTCAGGTTGGCGCCGGGACAGTCAGAAGTGTCTCTCAGGAGACTGGAGCACGCGGGGTACTTGTGGGCGCAGGCAGGAAAGCAGGCAGACAGGCAGACGGGCGGGTGGCTCAGGCAGCAGCCATGATGTAGAGCGACAAGAGTGGGCGAGCGAGGGTTGTTGGGTGTGTGTGTGTGTGTGTGTGTGTGTGTGCTGGCTCGGGCGAACTTGGAGCTGAGCACCTGGTTGGGACAGGCGAAGGGCGGCGATGCGATGCGCTGCGATGCACCACCACGACACGGCCAAGGTGCGGGTGCGAGAGCGAGAGAGCAGCAGCAGCAGCAGCAGCAGGCAGGTGACGGCGATGATGCTTAGTAGGCGGGGAGGGGGGAGGGTTTTTTGGTCAGTGGTCAGGGCAGCTTGGGGAGTCACGCGGCGAGGGTGGAATGAGGAGCGAAGGCGAGAAAGAGAGTAAGTAGAGCTAAGCTAAGCTCGAGAGCAGCGATAAAGCTATCGGAAGCTGCAGGAAGGGAAGTGTGCAGGCAACGAATGCAACGGATGAGTCGAATCGAAAGAGTCAAAGGGCTGCTGTCAAATGCAAATGAGGAGCTGAGGATGAACAAGCTTGGCCCCGGTCTGGGGTAATTCGGCATGGTCCTTCTGCTGGCTCTGGCTCTGGCTCTGGCTCTGGCTCTGGCTCTGGCTCTGTTGCTGCTGTTTGTGCTGTCTCTCTGCTCTGTTCTGGGTGTGGGTGAGGTGCTCGAGGGCGCTAGTGACGCTCACGTACAGCTTGCTGCATGGGTCCGAATCGGGATGCAGCTGATCGCGCGTCATCTTACCGGCCTGCGACGAGTGCGAGTGCGCACATGTACATAGATACATACGTATGTACTGCGCCCATCTAGTTAGCCCTCGCTATCTATCTTCCTCCATGTTCACCTCCTTATCAAACCCTCCATCATCATCATCATCATCATCACATGGTCTCGTATCTCGCCCATGCCCGGTGGTCCCCCGCCAACGGCACACCACCTCAGCACGCCATCTTCCACCATCTACACATCGTCTCTAGTCATGCAGCTGCGTGTGCCGCCTCACGATCTGACCGGTCGCACAAGATGGCCGGCTTGTCTGGGCCTAATCTGTATACACCCGTCGTCGGTCAGTTGCGGCGAGGCACCAGCGACAAGTGACGAGTCGCTCGCTGCCAGCAGTCGAGTGCATATGCGCGGCGAGCCATCGCATCCATCCATCCATCCATCCATGTCTCCCTCCCTCTGTCCTTCCATCTCGTCATCCACTCACACTGCCGGTTGCTTTTGCTATCGATACGCGGCTTGGCGCCTCACTCAACAACCACCACCTCGTCCATCCTTCCCCTCCCCCTGCCCATGCATCCCACACCCAAGGAACCCACGGCGTTGAGCACCCACATGTTTCGCCATCCACACGGCCAGCCTCGCGTTGCCTCATCCATTGCTTTTGTGTCGTGAACCCCTGGCTGGTCGGCACCACCCAGAGTCTGTCCTAGCTTACCACAGTACCTCACAGCACCCTGGCCAAGTTCACCCTGCCAACTGCTTCTAGCTCCCTTCCGCACACTGCCCCGAACCCTACTACAACCAAGCCGCCGCACGTAGCTGCTTCACCGCCTGCCACTGTGGAGCAAAGCGTGCGCTGTATATATTCTTCGTGTCGTCACCCTCCCATGCCTGCCTGTCTTTCTGCTGCTGCTGGTGCTACTGTTGCTGCTGTCCCCTCAAGCTCACCCTCCCCCTCCCCTGTCGCCATGTCTGTTACCCGAGGTCGGAGGGTCTGGTGACGCCAAAGCCATTGCCGCATACACCGTAATCGCTCTTTGCGGTCGACGCTCCATGCAACGTCGACCTCCGAGAGCAGCTTGTGGAGGAGAGGCCATCTCCTATTGGTCAGTCATTGGTGACCTGCCGTAGAGACATGCCCGCAGCCCGCCCGCCATGCGCTTCACAACCACAGTGTCTTTGCGACTTGCTTCTATAACTCATCTTCTTCGTCTCCATCCTCCAACTAACTAGCCCAACCATTCGCAAAGTAGAGAGTGCTCCCCTCTGACTCATCCATCTTCGACGTTCGCGCCATTTCGACTCATCATCCCCCTCGCTATCGCCTCGGTAGTTTCGTCATCGATACCATCGCTCTAGCACCATCCTATCTTCCCACACCCAATTCCCACCCCGCCACCCGCGCCCTGCCCTTTGCCCCCCAACGTATTCGCGTCCGCCTAGCAGTACTATCGCACCGTTGAACATACTCGGTGCTCCTCCGCTACCCGTCTACTACAGATACTAAACAGAAATCACCAATCCCCTCGCAACGAATTGCCACCTTACCCCTTCCCTCCGTGCGCCCACCAACCACCACCACCACCACCACCGCCCCTTCCCTACACCCCACGCACTCCACGCCTCCGAACCTTCCACGAAAATTAGACTTGGTCGCATACATTGAACCAAGTAGTTGCCTTGGGCACCCCCTCTCCCCGAGTCGTCCACAGCTTTACAGCGAGCACCTTTAAATACGCTTTGACCCAACGAGGTTGAGGCCAGGTGCTACTCGTAAAAGCTTCGGATTACTCCTTTCTCCAACCAGCACATGAGCGGCTATCTCTGGAAATACTTTCTCGAAGATGATGTCGACAGCTTTCGGCATGTCCTCGCAACTCCTACGCATACCAACCGGCCGGCAGCACAGAAAAGCTTGAGTGCCTGGCAGTCGGGCGCATCTCCCGCACCTATAAATGGCAGTCCGGGTAGCTACAATGCTTCTCCCATGTCAGCTGCAAAGGCTCGGAGAACGGGCATGGGCGTAGCCGCCAGCTTGAGTCGCTTTGACATCAACAGTCGCGATGCCGCAGGAATGACTATACTGCATCATGCCGCCTCATCCATGGCCGACACTGCCGTCGATTTTGCACAAGCACTGCTAGAGCACCCGTGGACAGACTTGTATATTCAAGACGCTGAAAACGGCTGGACTGCCCTCCATAGAGCCTTTTACTTTGGCAACATTGCCATTGCACGCCTCATCTTGAACAGAGATGCGCAAGATATTCTAGGCCAGGGCTCGAGCGGATTCAACCAGCATGCTCGCGGACTTGTCAAGATCAAGGACAAGGAGGGATATGGTCCCCTAGACTTGTTCTCCATGACCATCAAAGACCGGACTTTACGCCCGGAAGAGTGTCCTATCCTCGATTCAGATTCTGATGATGAATTGGCTCACGGAGACAGCGGTGACGTGGATGACGAAATGCGCAAGAAGCTGATTGCTCCGCCCGTATCGCTTGATGGCGATGAAGTGTACACGTTTGGCAGCAACAAAAATGTAACCCTTGGTTTCGGAGACGAAGATGACCGGCAATTCCCAGAACGCATCACTTTGCGTAGACCAGACCACCTTCTGCAACGCTTCTACAAGGAGCACCTTGACCGGCAAAACCAACATTTTGCAGCCTTAGGGATTCCAACTCAGGATTCAAGCTCCCAACCGCGCAGCACAATAGATCTGCCGATACACATTCGAAACACCCCAATAGTCATCCAAGATGTCCGAATGTCCAAGTTGCACACCGCGGTACTAACAGCAGATCCCGTTTCTAATTTGTACATGTGTGGCCATGGCCCAGGTGGTCGCTTGGGCACGGGCAACGAAACCACGAGGTATCAATTTACCTGTATCGAAACTGGTGGGTTGGGACAGAAGCATGTTGCCGCCATTGCTCTCGGGCAAAACCATACTTTAGCAATTACAGAAGAAGGCGAGGTCTTCTCATGGGGTAACAATGCTTACGGACAACTTGGTTATGCATTGCCCAAGCCAGCCGTGAAAGATGATGACCCAATCTCCACCATACCACGACAGATATTTGGACCGCTCAAGCGCGAAATCGTCACAGGCATCGCCGCATCGCGCATACATTCAGTTGTACACACAGCCACCTCCCTGTATACATTTGGCAAAAATGAAGGCCAGCTAGGAATTGTCGACTCAGACGCTCGATCTTTAGGAATGCAAGTCATCCCTCGAAAGATTGCCGCCGCCCTCTTCTCCAGTCCCATTCATTCAGTATCGGCCATTGACGGTGCAACAATCTGTCTCTTGGAGAATCGCGAAGTTTGGGTTTTTGCAAACTATGGCTACGCAAAAGTCAGTTTTCCTTTGGACGGATTCACGAGCAACTTCCTCAAAGAAAGTTGGTTAACCACAAAGTATGACACTGCACCCAACAAAATCAGCAAGATCACCTCAGGAGGAGACACCATATGTGCACTCTCCACTTCAGGCGAAGTCTTTACTGTCGCTGTCAGCCGACGCTCAGAATCCTCGCAAGACTCCAGTACCTCTACAACAAATCCTAAACAGATCAGGGGAGCCCTCTCTGCGCCGTTCCGTATCTGGTCGTCTAAGAAGAGTCACATGGCAGCAAGGGATGTGGATGTTGACCAGGACGGATCCATCATATTGACAACCGAAGTTGGCAGTGTCTGGAGACGCACAAAGAGAGCGACCATCAAAAATGCAGCAGTCACGGCTGCTGTCGAAAGCAAACCAAAAGACTACAAGTTTCAGCGGGTTTCAGGTCTCACTCGAGTTATTGCTGTCCGGGCTTCTGCTTTTGGCGCATACGCCGCGATACGCAAGGATTGTGATGTTACCCGGACACAGATAGGTGTCGATGAAGCCAGCTTGTGGGAGAATTTCTCTCCATTACTGGCTTTCCACGAGTTGACAAACTACGAAGAGACGTCGGATGATGAGGAGCCTATACCCAGATTTTGGACTAGGGGCGCAGATGCACAAGGCCTTCGCAAGCGAGTTCTCAGGTCTAAAGATTTGGAAACTGAGACAACAGAGGTTGTACAACGTTCGCTGGCATCATCTGACCGCTCCTATGACATGGAGATTGGATCCACTCTGTCTGACGTCCGCATCCCTGTGCATGAGTTTATACTGGCTGGACGCAGTCGCGTCTTGCGCGACGCTCTACTCGACTTTCGTGTCAAAGGCTCTGAATACACCATTCCGGACTCGTTGACCATAAAAGAGGAGAATAAAAGGCTCGTCTTGATATTCCAAGGCATCGACTTCTTGACCGTTTTCAACTTGGTCTTGTATGCCTACACTGACTCAGTTGTCGATTTCTGGAACGTCACTCGGCACTATCCTACCATGGCACACAGATATCGCGCTGTGCGGACTGAACTGATGAAGATTGCTCTACGTCTGGAAATGCGGCAGCTCGAACCTGCTGTCCGACAGATGATATATCCGCGAAAGTCTTTGCACGTGGATATGGAGTTGGCTATCAAAGACCAATCCTTCTTCCAAAGTGGCGATGTCATTGTCGATCTTGCAGACGGTGAAATGTTACTGCATTCGGATGTCATCTGCCAGCGCTGTCCCTTTTTCGAGGGCCTGTTCAGAGGACGTGCTGGTGGTCAATGGCTTGCAGGACGACAAAATGACGAGTCTTCTCTGATCCACATCGATTTGACTCACGTCGAGACGCGTCTCTTTGAGCTTGTGGTGCACCACTTGTACACAGACGCTGGCGAAGAGATTTTCGCGGATGTTACAAGCGAAGACCTCAACGATTTGCTGGCCCTCGATGAACTACTCGACCATGTCATGGACGTCATGTCTGTTGCCAATGAGCTGATGTTAGACCGTCTCTCGCAGATCTGCCAGAGATTGATTGGTCGTTATGGTATGTTGATACAGTATTATTCTTGCGCATCATCGCTAACCTGGTTACAGTCAACGCTCGTAATGTTTGTTCCCTTCTCACAGCAGTCGCACCCAGCTCGGTGGCAGAGTTCAAAGATGCCGCTCTCGAATATGTGTGCCTCAGTCTAGAAGCGGTGATGCAAAATGGTTCTCTGGACGAACTGGACGAGGACTTGCTGCTAGAGCTCAACCAGGTCGCTCACGAGAACCAGCTTGCCTATCTACCATTTGCACGAAGTGGACGGGCTGAGACTCTGTTGTTTGATCGGTACCCGGAGCTTGCCGAAAGGATTGAGCGAGGGAAGCGCGCCAAGATTGATGCAATAGTGCTGTCGAACAAATATGCGGAGAGCGAGAATATGTCGAGCTCTTTCAGAGCACAGAGTCTAGAAGAGGTAGCGGCCTCACCTCTCCGCCAGCGTAACAAAAGGCGGGTGTCGAAGGAAGTCAAGAGTCCTGGGCTGGCTCCCACACTTCAAGGCAAGTCTTCTGCTCAAGATTTGATGTTTGAAATGTCGGATGGAGAGGAAGAAACCGACATCCCCAAGAAAATTAAGTCTCCGCGCTTCACCGATGAGGGCGAGGTCCAGAGAGGAGTTGAAACACCCATCGGTTCCCTCGAGTCGCCCTGGGGATCTGTTCAGAAACCAAGCCGGCCA